CCGAGATGGCGCCCTCTTATTTGCCTTGGAAGCCCCGCCCTCTGCCCTAAAAGGTAGCCCAGACCCCGCCCTCACCGCGACAGGCCCCGCCCCCCTGGCTGCGGTAGCCAGGCTGGCAGGCGATGCACTTGAAGCTCCCAGGTTTGTTCTCGCATCTGCCATCGGGGCAGGAGCTAGGATCCCGGCACTCGTCGATGTCTGCGCGGGAGGGAGGAGGACCCGTTTGGGAACTACGCGGCCGGCCTGGCGCTCAGGGTCCTCCGCAGGGCCTCCCCCATCACGGTAAACAAGGCGAACCGGCCCCTCTGGGCTTCCGGACCCCAACCTCTGAGAGGCTCTGAGCGGGGCAGAGACGGTTCAGGTCCCCTGCCCCCTCCCCAGGTCCGGGGACAGCTGAGGACCCCGGTGGGCCTGGATGGCGTCCCCCCCACCTTCGCACACAGGCGGTCGGGAGGCCTTGAGTCGGTAGCCAGGGTAGCAGTTGCACTTGTAGTGGCCGGGAAAGTTGATGCAGAAGCCGCCGTCGCCGCACAGGTGGGGCTTGGCGCACTCATTCAGGTCTGAGCGGAAGAAGGGGCGCGAGCGGAGGGCAAGGGGCGGCGCGGGGGATTCCGCAGCGGTCGGGAGGCGCCCCCATGCACTCAGCCCCGCCCCGCCCCGCCCCGCTCACCCACGCACGAGCGCCCGCCGGCGCCCACGTGCAGGCGGTAGCCGCGGTTGCAGTGGCAGTTGTAGGAGCCGCCGGTGTTCATGCAGATGCCCCTGCCGGTGCCGCACGGCTCCGCCTCACACTCGTTCACGTCTGAGAAGGACGCGGGCAGAGAGGCGTCAAAGCGGGGTCGGGGGCCAGCGCCGGGGGTCGGGGTCCCCGGGCCACCCACTCGGCCCGCTCCGCTCACCCACGCAGTAGTGGTGCTGCGGGTGCGACCTGTAGCCCGGGTTGCAAACGCAGGAGTAGCCGGAGGGGCCCTGGATGCACTCTCCGTGGCCGCAGATGTTCTGGTTCAGTCGGCACTCATCTGTCTCTGAGGGCAGGGTTGGGAGGGGGCCCTCACTTTCCACCACGTCCCCCTACGGACCTCGATACCCCATTCCTGATGATTCCAATACCTGAGCCTGGTCACGCTGTGACCTCAGGACCCTGTACACCCACACTCCAATCCTAGGATTTCCTACACCTCCATCCCAGATGACCCCACACTGTGACCCCAGGTCCCTGACATGCCTATCTCCTCAACTCCAGAACCTTTGATATTCTGTCCCCACTCACTAGACCCTGACACCTGTCACTTCAATATTTTAAACCCTGCAGCCTCAGTCACACCACTATCCTCTAGCCCCGTGACTCTCAACACCCCCTTGCCTCGGGGACCTAGCCCCCCACTGGTTGATATTCTCCCCTCCCAAGGCAGGCTGGTTTCCTGGGACTTGTGGCTTGCCCCACAGTTGTGCATAAGTGGTCAGATCCAGGAACCCCTCCTACTCTCTTTGTCACCAGTCCCAGGACTTCTTGTCTCCTACCTCTCCCTCCTTTTCGTCCCTCCCCTGCCCCCATCT